CCAAATGATGCCAAGATGACCAAATTGAGGCTCTCGTACTTCGGACACATCATGAGAAGAGAGGACTCTTTGGAAAAGATAATAATGCTGCGAAGGGTGGAAGAAACTAGAAAGAGAGGAAGGTCACATGCTAGATAGAGGAACTCTATGAAGGAGGTCACAGGTATGAAGGGGTTGCAGGAATAAAGCAGAGCAGTGGAGGACAGAGGGTCTTCTTGGAGAGGTCTCATCCATAAGGTTGCCATGAGTTGAGATCGACTCAAGGGCAGTTAACAACAAAAGGTATTCCTGAACAGCAGGGAATTGGACTGGATGGTCCTTGGAAGTCTCTTCCAATTCTATGATTCTATGATTAATCACACTTCAAAGGCACAGCAGCAACAGGCTGGAGGCAACATCATGCAATAAGTATGACCAAAAGCACTATTTTCCCATTTTAATTGCAGTTTAAAAGCCATGTGCAATAAAATCCTAAATTGGGTAGACAGGCTTTGGGCAATGGAGAGGGAGGAAAGGAATACCAATCCCTTCAGAACCCTAAAAGACCTAGGCATGGGAAATCTGTATGGGCATATGTTCCTAACAGGATGCCAGCCAGTGTCATAAAAATAATGATGGCATCTGCATCATAATGTTACAAGCCCCTTTCTTACTGCACCTTTCAAGGTGGATATGAACAGTGAATGTTTTGGATCTGGACTGCAGCTTTATTTATTCAGTAGGAGTGAACTAGTTTAACCGAAAGCCCATTATCAGAAGTGGCGTGAACGTCCACAAAAGACTATGACCGGAGGTTTGGGAGGATCCACTCTTTGAAAGCAGAAAGAAGGCTGAGAAATATGCAATATAATGACAATGACCCTCAACTGGAACCGAGCCAAGCCATTAGGTCTAATGGCCTTGCTCCATTTCACACCAAGCGCCCTGGGATTTTTTATGATCACTGGTGGTCAAGACCTTGGGTTTTACATCTCATTTAGAAGATAATAAAGTTGTCCCCCATTTATTCCTGGGTCCTAAGGGATGCACAGAGGAATTGTACATGTAAATCCCTCCTCCACCAGAAACATGGAAGAAATGTAGGCACAAAAGTCGTAGGCATAACACACCAGATTTTATACAAGTTCTAATAAAGTGTCAGTGTATCCTCTGGTTCCGCAGCATCTTTAAGTGACATTGCTGAGAGGAAGGTTATTTTTCCCCTCTTCTGAATTATCCCTGCTGCTCAAATATACTTGGAGGAAACGAGTTTATAAAGCTATCTAGGCAATGATTGGGAAGGATACACCATTCTCCTGTGAAGGTTATACGAAGCAGGTTATGATAGGGGTCTCCATTTTAAATTGGAATGATGAGAACTTAATAGATCTTGCTGTATCCGACTACGGACAAGATAATAATGATGGGAAAAGAGGATGCTCAATTCTCTTCTCGCTACTAGAGTCCGACAGTCCAGCAGTCTCTCTTGGGACATTTGCAGTAACAACACAGTGCCAAAAAATTCAAAAGTCCCACAACCCTGCAGTACTGGCCTCCTGAAATTACAATGGCTTGAGGCAGTCTACTTTTGTAAAGGACTCTGCAGACATATCTCTGAAATAAACCAATTTGTCCTTTCCTATAGCAGAGATTGCTGGTGGCTCCCACACCTGTGGGGCAGTGAATCAGCTCCATATTTTGGATTGTTTTCAAGGAATCTATATATGGGAAGCACCAGCCACCCCTGCCCCAGAGAAAGCCTATAAGGCATCTGCAAGGATGTACCTCCCGAAATAAACTCATGGACATGAGTGGAAAATTTTACATTTGTGAGCCAGCCACAAGGGTTGACTGAGCCCAGAATGAATTTCATCTCTCTGGGGATTCCAGTTCTCCAATATTATTAGTTCTCCTGTCAGAACTACGTCTTTGTTTCAAGCCAGCTAGAAAAACAAAGGAAGAGATCATTGCTTCGAAAGCCCCAGAGAAGGCTTTGGAGTGCGAGAAGATTTGGCAGGACTTGCCCTCTGAGGTCAGGAAATATCTGGACAAAGGGCTAGCTCTCTGGAGGACAAAGAACTGGTGCAGATATTGACGGGAGAGAGTCGTTTTAAGTAAAAGCACTTTGGATTGCAAACACTGAGCACCATACTGATCAATATTAGAATCTGTTTAATTAATTTGCATGATCAATAACTGGGGAGATTGAAAAGGCACCCCAAAAGAGAGATTGCACCAATGGAAAGTGGGAAAGGTTTTAGCACAGCTCATTTATGCCTTTGGATTTGTCTGAAAGGTTTTAGCACATTTTATTTATTCCTTTGGATTTGGTTTTCTCCCAAGCAGCTGAAGTCTGGGAGAAAGAATGGGCCATTCTCATCAAAGACAGAGCTCAGAGAAGTTAATTTTCAGATGACAAGTCCCAGAATCCCCAGGCAACACAGCCTCTGGTCTGATAATGCCACAGGGAATGGGGCTTGATCATTAAGCACAAGACATCAAACATCAACCCCAGTTGCTCAGAGCAGGAGATTCAAAGGAAAACAATGAAGACAAATAAATGCATCTTACTTTTCAAAAGCAGGGAGAAGAGAAGGTGCCTGGAAGAGTCTGAAGCAGTCTCCCCAAACCAGACTGCAGCAGTGCAGGCCAGCAAATATGGTTTTTATTTTTTAAAACAGCAACAACAACAAAGCTCTTTTTAGGACAGTGCTCTTGTGCTGAGATTCCTCCCCTTGCCCTTCGGATCTGAGATCTGGGAACCCTAAACAGGAACCCTTTGCTCCTTTATCAAAGGGACTTTGGTAGCAAACCTAAAAGCCAAGGTCCCAAGTCAACTTTCTGTTTTTGTTTTAATGGAAGAAAATAATTGTGCAGCTGGGAGTTTCCAAGAGCTTGGCTACTGGTTTTGTTGGTTGGAGGATTCTGGGAGTGGTCATTCAAAACAGTTACTTTTCCAACTTCTGGAATATACAGTAGCCAGAATCCTGTTGTCTTATGTGATTATCCAATGGAAACAGTTGGGCCTTTTTGTCCAATGCAAATCGTGTCATACTCGGTTCAAGGGTGTGGAAGTCGAGTGTCGCATATGATAAATAAATAAATAAATAAATAAATAATAGTAAAATTTATTTATATCCCACTCCTCTGTCAACAATCGGTGCAATTGGTGACTGTTGCACATGATGGCCCATCGATGCACATGAGCATAGGGTATGTTGTCGTTGTTGGTATTGTTTTGTGCCTTCAAGTCATTACTGACTTATGCTGACCATAAGATGAATCTATCACAAAGTTTTCTTGGCCAGATTTCTTCAGAGGAGGTTTGCCATGCCCTTCTTGGAGGCAGAGAGAGTGTGACCTGCCCAAGATTACCAATGGTTTTCCAGAGTCAAGCAGAGACTGTTCTCCAGGAGTCCTAATCCAACATTGAAACCACTACACCATGCTGGTTTTCTGTCGGGAGAGTTTGAGTATGCATGTGCCTTCAAGTCACCTATCGAGTTATAGTGGCCCCATAAGGTTTTCTTAGGCTAGAAATTCTAGAAGTGGTTTTGCCAATTTCTTCCTCTGAAATACAGTCTTCAGCACCTGGAATTCATTGGCAATATCCCACCCAAGTGCTAACCAGATCTGACCCTGCTTTGCTTCCAAGTTCAGATGGGATCTGGTGCCTTTAGGCTGTTTCGGCCAGAGAGTTGTGTACAATTACATGTTGTGCCTTACTGTGCATTACACATGGAATTCACACACGCATTTGGTTGTGGGGTGTCACAATCCTCTAATAAGGTGGTAATTCCATCAGCATCCTATCTTCTTGATGGAGGATTTTGGCCAATAACTTGGCTGATTTCTGCTTTGTGTTTCCCTCTCCAGTTCCACCCTCTAATTCCAAACTCCAGTTTTTATCTGTCTTATGGCTTTGGAGTCCTTTCAATCTTAATCACAATGACTCCAACATAAGCAAATTTGTGGTGTTTTTTTATATCTATATATTGCTCTGTTAAATACCACTTGTCACCATTTGCGGCTTCATAGTTACCGTTCCTCCCTTGTTCCAAATGCTACTTGGAAGGATGTTAACCATTCCTCATTGTTTGACGCTTGGAATTGTGGTTTCCGCCTCTTCTTCTTCCAGCCTCCCCTCCCTTCCTTCTTTCCACATTTCATTAAAGCCTGCTGATCGAGCAAGAACCACAATACCACTCTGGCGGTTTTCAGAGATTTTCTTCCATCCTTGAATTATAGAAAAATTACATTGCTGCCAATAAGCCCTAAATCTTTGTTGACCCATTCTTGGCTTGTGATATTCTCAGAAGCGAGAGGAAGGCAGCCTCTTGCTTTCTTAAACTAAACTTCACTACTGTAATTCTGCAACTTTGGTAAATCAGACCTTGGTGAACCTTGCAGACCTAGGTTCAATTCTTCAGTGGATTTGCAAAGTTGGATTGGAGCATGTTGTTATGTCTGTTAGCCTACTTTATAGGATCATGGCTGGGAGGCTCAGAATAGTGTCCAATTAATGACATTGTTGCAATAGAAATGTTCATACATCTATATCACCGATCAAAACTTTATGAGTCCTTGTAACTACATTTAAAATTTTGGGAAAAGTGCCATAAATTGTCACCATAAGAATAACTTCCAATATTTTTTTTCATAGAAGAATGCCACATGAGAAGTCATCATAATATGTAAGAAAGAACGTCCTATAGAATAACATGATAATGGCTACCCTGGGGAAATCTAAGGGCTTTTTAACATAGCATCATCTTCAGTCCTGATCGTCTCAAAATGTCATCTAATCCAATTTTGTGAAATCAAAATATATATAAAGGTAATTCCTCATAAACAATTTGCTAGAATGCTGGCAGCTTGGGGATTTATAACCTAATGACAGTATTGTTATTGTGTGCCTCCATGTCATTCCTGACTTATGAAGACCCTAAGAAGAACCTATCATGGGGTTTTCTGGGGCTGAGAGTGTGTGACCTGCCCAAGGTCATCCAGAGGGTTTCCATGGCTGAGCAGGGATTCAAACCCTAGCCTCCAGAGTTGTAGTCCAATGCTCAAACCAATGCGCCATGCTAGCTCTCTGATTAATGACATACACAAGTGTTAAATCCACCTTATACTTCTGTATGTCTTTTTTTATTCCAGAGTTATTCCAGTCCAGAAGTTGGTGGTCTCTTCCACCCTCCACAATGACCAAAGAGCCCTCCACCAGTCACCGTTTAGCCAAAACGCAACTGTCCAAACTAGATGCTTAACTATACAGGCCCTTGGTCTTATATGGCATGGCTTTATGTCATTCTCTGAGGAATTACTTAGGGAGTTGGGTCTGTTCAGGTTAGAGAAGAAAGGAGTGACAGGTGACATGATATCCCTCTTTAAATACCTGATATCATGGAGAAGATAAATTGTATTCTGTTGCTCCAGAGATGAGAACATGAACCAATGGATTCAAATTTCAAGACAAGAGATTCCACCTAAATGTTCTTGACAGTAAGAGATGTTTGATAGTAGAATAATCTGTCCCATGGCATGGTGGACACTCCATCTTTGGAGGTCTTTAAGCAGAGGTTGGGTGGTCATCTCTCGGGAGTTTTTGGTTGTGTATCCCTCCATGGCAGGGGGTTGGCACCCTATTGACATCCTGGGACAAGCTTCAATTGGGTGAGCATCCCAGAAGAAAATGCCGGCTCTGTCAAGAGCCACTGCAGTTGGGCCAGGTTTAGCTGACGATGGATTAGGGGCATTTTAAGACCATTTCCAAGAGTAATTGTGAGCCAGTTCTGTTGCTTTCCCTTGTGACTCAGAGCTGTCATTGGAACGTTAATGAGACAGACTGCTTTGTTGAAGCAATCATCTCTCACACCTGAAGTGAAATTGATTCACTTAAACATTATAGGTTTTCCATCAGGGAGCATTTAGCTCTACATTTTACAACATGGGCTCCTCAAGCTTCATCACTGTGCTCAATGGAAACAGCTCAGTCCCCCTTCAAACTGGGTGGAATCTTGGTAGCATTATCGCCAGCTGGGCCAAGATGTTGAAGAAGTCTTCCTTCGCTTGATTCCTTGGCCCATTTGTTGGCAATCACATATGTGCATACTTTAGAGTAAATCCAGTCCATCCCTGGTGGCTTCCAGATCAGTAGGGTGAAGAATCTGCTCTGAGTTCTAGTCCAAACTTTAACAGAGTGACTCAATGTGCTGTTCTCTCTTCCCAAAACTGCTTCAACACCATGGCTTACTTCTTCAAAGTTTGGACAAAAGCCCAGATGAGATTCACCACACTATCCACATGGGAGCTACCCATGGTCACTGAGAAAGGCCCATTGAACTAAATGGAATTAGTAGATATACATAGGATTATAAGAAACAGATGTTTTCTTCTGTCTTTTGGGAAAAGGACCCACCTGCCAGTCATAAGGTGAAGCAACAGCATGAGGAAGATACAGGCTAAATCATGACAACAGGTTCTTAGTTAGGAAGAGAGCAAGAGTACTTTGTTAGAAAGAGAACTTTTGTTAGGTTCTCTTCCTAACAAAGGAGCTAGTAGCCTCACAAAGGATTTGAGACAAACTGGATCTCAAAGGCAGTCACCTTTTGTCTTGTTAATGGAATTTAAAGTTTATTTCCTGGACTGAATCTCCCAGAATCCACATGGCAAGAAGGAGAAGGGGCCCACCTGCAGGAATGCCCTTCCAGACCATCTGAACTAAGGACAGCAACCACAACATCTAGACCAAATGCAGGGCTATGACTAATATCAATTTTTTTCTTTCTCCTGTATGATTTTAAACACCTTTGCCTAACGAAGAAGCCAGTCGAGCCTCCAAAGCTTGCAACATGTATAATGTGCCCAATAAAGTATCGCTGTTTTGTAGATTTGGGATGATACTGTACTATCCAAAGTGCTGAACTTCATCTCTTAATTGTTTCAGCACCTTGGACAGCTCTTTTGGAGTTATAAACCATGAAGCAGATTCCCAACTAAAGAAAACAACTTGGGATGGATTCAATGCCACTGATTTCCTCTAGATCAGGGCTTCTTGGGCTTTCTGATGCGGGGGACCGGTAATGATTTTTTCCCCAGTGTGCCAGCAAGGACGGGCACCACATTTGTGCCCATTGGGTACAATTGTTTCTTTCGTCCCTGAAAACTTGCCAGGGACCACCATCACAGATCCAGGGATCATCACTTTGAGTAGCACTATTCTAGACCTTAGAAGAAAAACAAGAAAACAGAGAGAGAGAGCTGCACCAACTGATGAGAATGAAAACCTAGGTGCTCAACTGCATTAAAACTAAATCACAGCCTGAGAGTCCTTTCCCAATGTTGTCACTTCTTGTTGGAAGCTAATTGAACTATTAAATTGCATCAGCTGGTAAACATTAGGAATTTTTGAGCTTGGCAACCTCATAAATACTTAAAAGAAAATTTTAAAAATTTAAAAAAGGTACCACCACCATCACAACCCAAATGGCGTGATTGATTCACTCCCACAAAACACCGCACATATCGAAGAAATGTTGCAGGGAAGAGAGGGGGGAATTATTGCTTTCCTCCAGTTTTAAAGGAAGCCTTGTAAAGTAGTGGGTAAGGGGATGTAATTAATTACACCCTGAAACATTTTACTGATTGAATCCATGACCCCAATGGTTGTAAGGTCAGTTTGTGATAGATTAGCTCAGCCTAGAATCTCATGGATAGGGTCTGGTGCCGGCAAGCTCATTATAGGAGATGTCAGGGCATGTAAATCATCAGAAACAAATACAGACATCCATCAGAGACAGGCAGATAACGATTACAGGCAGCAGAGTGGAGCTGGATTATTATGCAAAATTTATTTTCAACGATTAAAAATGGGGAGAGATGACTTTTTTAAAATAATGCCTTTTAAACAAACCCAGGCTGCATGAGGCCTGATGGGAAGACTTGCTCTATAAATGTTGTGCATCTGCAAGAGGCCATAGAAAAAAATCAAGCAGTAGAGAGAAGCAGACAGAGAAAGAGAGAATATGGCAGCTGCCCCAGTGTGGTTCTTTGGGTATTTCTTTCCTATTCAAGGGAGAACCATTTTACTAATACATGGTCAGTGCAAGATAAGTAGGAATAAAGAGAGGAATCATTGCTATGCACGGACCATTTGTTACAGATCCGATCGGCCCGGGGAGAATAGAAACAGCTATCAGCATTTGGCAGAGTCCCGCTTTTTAAAGTGGTACTCCAAAGGGTTTAGGCAAACACATGCTGAATCAAAGGGGGAATAAAGTAATAAAAAAAGAGGAGGATAATCACACATCGCATGAAAAGCAACAACACTGATGCAGAACAGCACTTGAAACGGGGAAAAGTCTTATGCTGACTTTCTCGCTTGGTGTAACAACAGACTTAGCAGACTTAACAACAGACTCTACTTCCCACACTGATAAATCAGTCCCTAGAAAAGTGTCCATGGTTATAAACATGTTGTCAATTTTGGCTGAGTGATTGTAACAGGCAGATCAGCATATCTACTACGCTGGGCAGGGCAATGATTTCTTGGATATGTGGCTCCCCTCCAAAAGTATTTCCCAACCTTTGCCTAGGGATCAATGCATCCATTATTGCTTTCCTTTGTTTGCTTTATTTGGAAGAGGTGTTCCATCTAGTGATAAAAGATGTCTGTTTGCTATAGCACGTCATTTTCCTTACCTCCACGTCTCGCATTTACTGTGCTTTGCTCTCTAACTGGTCATTGCAAATTGAGCCCAGGTGCATGCCTCATCCATTGGAACTTGCTGATTGAGGCCTGAATCCTATTGCTAGTCCCAAAGAAATAGCAATGAGTTGACTCAACAGTCAATTCAGTGGGCCTACTCTAGTTGTAACTATAAACAGGATTCAGGCTTTGATTGGCAAGTTTCCTTGCTGAGGCATGCATAAATATTATTATTATTATTATTATTATTATTATTATTATTATTATTATTATTATTGAAATCTCACTGTGGGAGGAAAAACAGGCTAATTGTAGGGAATGCATATTACTTTAATCTTTAGTTTGAACCCATAGCTTACATAAAGAAATGTCTGTCTGTAGGTTTGCTGAGTTTCTCTTCCTCATTGCCAGAAACTTCTGAACTTCCACATGCATTGCTTATTCTTCAGCTCCTGTGCCTTCTTCATTTTTCATATTCAAGAATAATCTGTGATAAGATACAGAGCATTAATTCTACCCAGTGCACCTGGTTCAAATCTTCCCCCTTTCTCCCTGTTTTTTTTTTCCTTGAGTGATGCTGGATCATTTATAAAGTTAATTTAGAACACTTTCAGTTGTCGGCCCAATTTGTACCCATCGCTATTGCATATCATATCCCAGATGGATCTTGTTAGAAAACTGTCTCTCTTGCCTCTGAAAGACATGGTATTTGGCACGTTCAGGAAAAGGATATGCAAATTATGTTAATTAAATGCAACTTAATGCAATATTGATATGGCCCCCAGAGGGGAGATCTTCCGCAAGACATAGTTTGCTGCACAACATTTGATTAGCAACATGATTTCTAATACAGATTCAACCTTATCTATTTATTTTAAGGCTTAAACAAAAAAAAACAATCCTATTTCTTCAACCGAAAGGACCCCAAGCACAATATGCATATTTATCATGTTTCCATGGCTAGGACTGCCGAATTCAGTATTTCCCAAATACCCAGTTGCTGAGAAGCACCTTTTCCCTTGAATCAAAACTGGATATCCACTTCAGGCGTCCATCCCCAAGGTTTTATTTCTGTTGTGAGCAAACAAGCATTCCTTGCACTATGTCTACAGAACTGCCATGACGCATTTAGGATTTCTTTATTGTTTGTGGTTAAATGCCTTCAAGTCATTTCATTTCAACTCATGGCAACCTTGTGGATGAGACATCTCCAAGACCCCCTGTCCTCCAATGCTCTGCTCTGCTCAGGTCTTGCAAATACATACCAGTGACCTCCTTAATAGAGTCTATCCATCTCACATGCCGTCTTCCTCTCTTTGTACTACCTTCTCCCTTTCCTAGCATCATTGTCTTTTCCAATGATTCATGCTTTCTCATGATGT